TAAAAGATAGGGAATGTCACGAAAGGGAATGCTCAAAGAAAGGGGAAGCTCTCAACCAATACGCAGCAGAAAACAACAAATGAAAAGACCCCAATGTATGAGAAGTCGGTCATAAAGTCATATGTCAGCCAGCAATTTTGGAAGAACAAATGCTTCCCCACCCCACCCCCAGGCCTCACTCTCAGGGCCACTTCACCCCCTAAGGAACCTTGCGGTGGGCTCCTGCAGTAAACCAAGGCGGATGAGCACAGTTCCCATCAGCAAACACACCCATGTGGTCTCCAGCTGCAGAAAACAAGTGGGTGTGCACAACCACTGTCCTGTGTGGTGAAGGTGAGAAGAGTGAGGGGAGACCAAGCTGCAGCCTTGAGCCTGAATGTGATGGGAACTATGAGAGCAGTTGTTAAAAGTCAGTTCCCTGACCTAGCAACAGGTCACAACAGGGAGGAGAACAAGGAAAAAGAAACAAGGAAAGAAGCAGAACAGGGTAACACAGAAAGAACAAACCAGAGCTGGGCCAAAAGGTGAGGGCAGGATGCAGTGGAAGGAGTCCTGAATGGGATTTGATCCTGCCTCCACCTCGGCAGTCCCTGAGCTCACTGGAGGGCTCAGTTTGTGCCTGCGCTGCGTCCTCTTGCAGATTCTCCAGGCAGCTTGTTGAGTACCTGACCCAGAAAGGGCCTTACAGAAGCAAAGAAGAGAGAGACATCTGTTTGCTGTGTCAAGGGCAAGAGCAGAGAAATAAGGGAACAATTAGGGAGGAACTCTCCAGTTTGCAGATGGGGAAAATTAAAGCCCATGGGGGGAGGGAATGGCTTTGCCTCTGACATCTCTTGAAAGCCCAGATTCCTGGAAATTAGGGACTTTCCCTGCTTTTAGGCATTTTATTAAGAGCCAAAAAGACAGAGCCACACCCTCCTCTGCCCACGGACAGTAATGGGGAAACTCCATGTCTGACTAGAACGCCAGAATCCAAATGGAATAAGGTTTCACTTTCTTTGCCTGCATTTGGTTTCCTAATACCATCTTAAGACTTGGCTGGAAGCCAGCATAGCTTAGGAAAAACATAACTGATAGAGGAAATACAAAGACAGGCCAAGACAAGAAGGGAGCAGTGGCATACTCAGCTGCAAGGGACATGTGCCCTGCTTTAGTGACTCTTATAGAAAAGCTGTACCCGAGGTATGGAGGGCTGATTGAGGAGCCTGTAGATTCTTGAGGCCCATCAGTGGGCCTGCCAGGTCTGTGAACACTGTATATTTAAAAATGCAAGCAGCTCTCCACTTACTGGCAGACAATTTGCACAGCCTTCATCAGATTCTTAATGGCTCTATTACCCAAAACAGGTTGGATCCAATCTCTTACTTTACAAATGGGGAAATGTAGGTCCAAAGAAAGAGAGCAACTTCCTCAAAGTCATCAGTAATAACCAATAGAGAGCCAGACACACAAAGAATAATACTGCGTGATCTCACTTGTATGTAGGATCTTAATAAAAGTTAAACATATGGGTGGGCACACTGGTGCACACCTGTAATTCCAGCTGCTTGGAAGGCAGAGGTAGGAGGATTGAGGAACCCTGTCTCATTCCATGACCAGGCTCTGAGAGAATCCAGTGAAGAACAGAGCAAGGGGCTGTGTACAAAGTTGTTGTATAGAGAGAAAGAGAGCTCAGGGAATATCTGAGTCATCACTATTTTTGATATGCTTCTTCCTAATAAATGAAACAATGCTTCAAAAGTCTAGAATGGTGTATGACTGGTGGAAAATCATAGTCCACTCCTCTCTCCCACCCCCACGCTTCCTGATTCTTAGCTGAGAAGAGCATGTTTATAGGAATGGAGAGGATATCAAGGGGGGAAAATACTGGAAATTTATGTTAAGAAAAGGAAAGAACTGTTTTCCATTTATCTACTTTGTTCCAGAAATGATATAATACCAGGCTGGCAACTTAGTAAAGCCCTATCTTAAAATAAAATTTTACAAAAGAGTGAGGATGCTGCTAGGTGGTACAACCCTTGCCTAGCATAAGTGAAGCCCTGGATTCAATGCCCAGTACCACAAGTGAAGAAAAAGTTAAATAACTAGAAGTAAAGAGTAGAGCTACGGTTATCAGAGGGCAGAGAGGTGCGGGAAATGGGGACTCAGTGTGCACAGAGTTGCAGTATATAAAAAGTGAAAATATCTGGAGATCTAATGATAGTTGTGCCACTCATCACAGCATCACCCTGGACTGGGTTCCATACTGTTTCATGGAGTCTCTAATTTGTTCATGGAATCAATACACTGGAGTAAATAAAGTAGCTTGCTAAGGCAAGTTGGAGCTCTGACTATGCGCAGGAAGAAAAGCATTGAATAAAACTTAGGTTGTTCATCTTCTTCTGCTCCTCACTACCCCCTGAAACCACCAAAAGAGAAGAAAGCAATTATTCCTGACTCCTCCTTTGCCTATTCCTGCTCGGCAATTATCTCACCCCATCCCATGCCCATCCTCACCACCACTCAAACCCAGACAGGTGTGCACACTTACACACAGTGCAAAGGGTCACTGGGACGCACAGATGAGAAGCATGTGGGTTTCGAGCCCCAACTGCAGGCTTCCTTGCCTCTGTCCTCAGCTAGTGTTCCAACTCAGCATAGCTGATATCCAGAAATTCATTTCCTTTCTTCCTTTAAGAGGGAAACGGAGATCAGGAAAGGAAATAGACAGAGCTCACAAGGGAAACTGAATCTTGGCAAGAGTTTCAGAATTTCTCTACAAACAGTACAGTGTGGTAAAAAGTGATAGTGGGCTCAATGTTGAAGCCTAGAACTGTAGATTATGCCTTGAGCTAGTCAATGCTCTCAAGCCCACTGACTTTCCTGTTGAAGAATGTACATTTTTTTGAGACAGGATTTCACTGGGTAATTCAAATTCCCTATATAGCCCAGATTGGCCTTGAACTTGCAGTGATCCTCTCGCTTCAGCCTCCCAAGTGCTGGGATTACAGGTGTGCAACACCACTCTTAGCCTGAAAAAGGACATTTCAATAATGATTTTTGTAAGGTTCACTAATTTATATTAGGTAGGGTCTGATTTATAGTGCCCAAAAGCCTAAAGTATGAAATATCCTTAAAGGTTCTGCCATCTCCTTACTCTTAATAAATTGATAATAATAGCTAATGTTACTAGTATTTTAAATTATACTAAGATCTTTATAAGCTGCATACACTTATAAGAGCTTAACTGTGTAAGGAGAATTGTTTTCTTTGATTTATAGATGAAGGAACTAAAACTGAAGATATTGAGCTGTTCGAGGCTATATGACTAATAAACAGGAAAAGCATTCAGCCCTTACTCTTAATCATTGCATTAACCACAGCCTTGCACAAGTTAACTTCAGTTAGACCAAAGGAAACAGCAAAAATAGACACAAAATTTTTATATGTATGGACGATTGTTTCTAAAGGGTTTGTAATCTGTTTCATTAAGTGAGATGGCCAAAATTTCCAAAGTTATGTTTCTACTGAATTTATGCTTTCCACTGTCAAGGAAAGAGTTGTGAGAAGAGAATGAGAGAACTGTTATGAAGGCCTTAGAATGGCAGCTGGCACCCAGAAAGACCTGGATAACTGCTTTACCAATAGCAAGACAGGGCATGGGCGTCAGAAATCCCTGGGCTCAGTGCCCATTTATCAGCTATGTGACCGTGCAGATATTAATAAAACTCTTTGAGGTTCAGTTTCCTCTTCTGTAAAGTGAGGAGAGCAGCCACTCTGCAGACTCATTGTGAAATGTGACAAAGTCTTCCTATCCTGGGTAATTTAGTCCCTCTCGGCCACTAAGTTACATATGTGACATCAGCTAGCAAGAAAATGTTCTCAATACAGGGTTACATTTTTTCAAATTTGTCTTGTATTTGTTTCTACACACTTTTATTCAGAGGCCCATTGCAATCCCACCAAAGCTAAATCGTCACCTGAATTATGCAAACAGGAATTGAGGAAGATTTTCTGTATTCCAGTCTCTGAAATGGGGCAGAGATGTCACCTTTAGCCCAAGGGTTCTACACAAGTAGTTCTGAGAATGTCCCAACCATAAAACCTCTAATGTCAAGTTGTATTTACTTCACAGAGCACTGAAGTAGGAATCAGAGAAGCTTGATTCTGATTCCAGCTTTCCTTTATTTGCTGTGTGTCCTCAGCAAATTATTCCTGCCTTCAGAGACTCCTTTGCAACTGAAGAACATAGAGAAAAATGATCCTTCAGGGTCTTTGCAGTTTTCATATTCTGAAATTTCTGTGCCCAAAATACCTTAGAAATGAGATGGAATCTCAGCATTAACTGAGTTTTCTGATCTTTAAAGTATAAAAAATAATAGTAAATGACCCAATATATGCCAAGCCCATAGAGTAGCAATGGCCACAACTGAACCCTAATAATGATATTTGTGTGCATGTACCATGGTAATGGTGTGTTGGTGTGTTGTAAGATCTCTCTCTCTCTCTCTCTCTCTCTCTCTCTCTCTCTAATAACTATCCCACTTGATAAACAAAGAAACAGAACTTAGAGCCATTAAGAAATTTCCTCACAGCTCCCTCAGCAAATGAACAGAAATGACAGGGTGACCCTGTGGCAGTGATGGGACTGAGAAACTACCCTCAGAGGAACTGCTCCAGCTCTCACCTGGTGAACAGGTGCCCCAGTGCCCAGATCCTCTCCACTGCTCTGGTCATCAGGTGGGTCACCCTCACCTCCCTGCCTGACTCTGACCAAAAGACCCTCCTCAATAAAACACCTTGTGAAAAGACCCTTCCATGGATCAGAGAAGGGAGATAAATTCAGGCACGAGCAGGAACTTTGAAAAATAGTAATAATAATAAAGATCCAGTGGCTCCGATCCTGTCCTTGTACCCCACCTCACTCCAAAGCAGCAACTTCCTAGTCTCTGGGGAAGACCCCCCCCCCAGGAGGTGAAGCTGAGGGTGCCAACAGAGGAAGAGGTTTTCCACCCTAGTACCTGAGCAAAGGGGATGAGCTCATTCCAGTTGGGAGGGCAGTGAGCAGACTGGAACTTCCGGAGCTAATTTCAGTTTCCAAACTTACTCAGATTTAGTCCTCCGTGTTGTGCGTTTCACAGCCAGTGGCTTGCCTGTTTTTTCAGAAACTCCCCTTGAGGGGGCGCTGTCCCTATTGGTCCTGGCTCCCTATAAAGGGCAGGCGAAACTGCAGAAGATCCCTACACAGGCTCCTGAGACAGCACCTACAGCTGCCACAGCCCCTGCCTGCAAGTACCATGAAGGTCTCCGCAGCTGCCCTCTGTGTCATCCTCACCACTGCTGCCCTCTGTGTTCCTGCATCTGCCTCCCCATGTAAGTTCGGGTCCTGGCCACCACAGCCCAGGAAGTCAGTTGATCTTCTGCCTAGAGTGCCCAACCCATCCTGCTGGGTCAGACTTTGCTCTCTCTCCCACTAAAGCATCTATACTGTCTGAACTCCATTATTTACATTCTCATGGACTGTTTTATCCAAATGGCCTGTTGATCTTGATAGATCTAAGCTGTTTTATGTCAGGGACCGCCCACACACACACACACACACACACACACACACACACACACACGCCTCAATGCTGAGTAGGGGGTGATGCTGGAAATATTCACAAACTTGAAAAGCAATTGACCCATCCCTGTCACCAGCAGGGTTTCTAAATCTTAATGAAACTGTCCTAAAACAGTCCTATTCTGTCAGTTCATAGATGGAAAAAATGGGGCTTATGAATATAGAAGCTAATTAAATGCCTGCTATGGATCAGGCTTTTGCCAGCTGCTTATCCTATGTCACCCTATTTAACAAAAATCTTTGAGTAGCTGTTTGGGACTCACAGACAGGAAAAGACAGGTCCACAGAGGTTTAGTAATTTGAATAAGGACAGTCGGGGATGGTGGTACTCAAAGCAGTTCTGGCTGGGAAAGAACAGTAGATGCTCCCAGAAGCCTCTTGAATTAATTGACCAACAAGCGTGTTCCTATTCAGTTCCCCTCTCACTACAAAAGGCCCCTTTAGGCCCTGGCTACGCCATGGAGCCTCCTCACAGCCTCCCCTGTGTCACACAGCTATTTTGGAGACCCATAAAGAGCAGGAATGGGGGTAGAGGGCCCAAGACAGGGAAGGAGGAGGCCCAGCTCATCCTGAGAGCCAAGGCAGGGGTCTGTGGTATGGAGGGAGGGATACAAGCCTATCTCAGGGATTAAACGGGAAGTGAGGGAAATTCTCGTGGGCTTCTGTTGGAACTCCCACTCTACCACTGCGTGTCCATGGTCAAGTGACTGTCTTTCCATGCCTCAGTTTCTGCCAAAACTCTTTTCAAGATAAATCACGTAAAGTGCCCAGCACAGTGCCCAGTGACATTGGCACTAAATAAAGAGATCTCCTTCCTTTTTTTTCCTTCTCCCAGATGCCTCAGATACCACTCCTTGCTGCTTTGCCTACATCTCCCGGGCACTGCCCCGCACCCACATCAAGGAATATTTCTACACCAGCAGCAAGTGCTCCAACTTAGCAGTCGTGTGAGTCTCTGCCCCATGGATTCCCGGGGTGGGGGGTCATCTCTGGCTCCCAGAGCTAGTCTTCGAGAGGTGCCCTCTGAGAAGGTGCCCGACCCACTCGTACCTATTGTCCAGCTATTCAACTCACTACACCTCCTCTATCTCTAGCCTGAGTCCCATCTATAATGTACAAGGACAAGACAGGCATCCCGGAATGATCATGCCCATTCCAAAAGACTAGGTCACTAAGACTCGTTACCAGTGTGGCTTTCACTTGAACACCCCTTTTTAGTTAAGGACCCTAGAATCCCCCATATTCCACACTCAGTCAAATCCACCTAAACCTCGGAGGAATTAGTGAGGGCCCTAATTGCAGTCAAGCAAAATGAAACAAAACCTACCCATCTGAGAAGAAAATGAGATTCATCTTTAAATACGCAAACCAATATAGTCATCCTCATTACACAGGCAGTGTTATGATCTGTATATTTCATAGAATAGCCCTCTAGGTATGCATGATTTTTTCCATGACTTCGGTGATAAAAGTGAAACTCTATGAGGTCTGTTGATTTATCAGGGCTGCTCAGTAAGTGAGGGGTGGAGCCTGTTTCTAGAACCTTCTCTCTCTACTGTGTCACTACTATTAGTGACAATTGGTTAAGAAATTTAAAATGATAGAATTAAAGAGCAACAGGAAGAAATTGTCCAAAAGACAAGAGGAATTAGGAACAAGGAAAGCAAAAGAAAGGAAATGAAAAAAATGATTAAAAAAAGATAAAATGGAAACAAAGCTTTGTAAATAGGGAGGGAAAGAGGGGGTGATGGTAGTAGAGGGGTTGGGAAAAAAGAGGAATCAAAATATATCATATATAGGTACAAATTCTCTATGATGAATGTGATCATTATGTATATCTAAATTGACCAATAAACTTAATCAAATAAAATTAAAAATAAAAATAGTAGTAAAAATAATAAAATTAAAAATAAAATAAAAAAGATGATCATGAAGTTTTCTATAAAAAAGGCTGAAGTTTTTTTAATCCAAAAGTTTTCATGACATTTGCAAAGTTATAGTTATTCAAAGATGAATCTGAGCCCTGATGAATTGCTCAAAGTATAGTGGTAATACTTAGCACTACTGTTTTTTTTTTTTTTTTTAGTACTGAGAATTAAACCCATGGCCTTCTCATTGAGCTACCCTTCATGCCCCCCTTTCTTTTCTTTCTCTCTCTCTCTCTCTCTCTCTCTCTCTCTCTTTCTCTCTCTCTCTCTCATCTTTTATTTTCAGACAAATTCTTGCTAAGTCACTAAACTGTCTGGGCTCCAACTTTTCATCCTCCTGCCTCAGCCTCTCAAAGTTCTGGGATTATAGGCATGAACCACTATGCCTAGCCTGCTAATTTCATTTCTAGAAACAAATATTTCTAAAAGAAAATATCCTCTTGTGAGCACATTAAGGGCAGACAGAGATGAATGAAACCACCATTCTATTCACAGCCTGACAAGAAGAATCAGGCAGACACAGCAATGACTAGAGTACCCCGCAAAGAACATTACAAAAGGAATAAAGCAAGCACATCCAACTTCAGGAGTGAGGAGACAGGATTTAGAAGACATTGCTGCAAAAGGTGCTTTGTGATAAGAGACTTGGATGGGCAGAGAAAAGCTTGTGGGTGGGGTTTATCAAGCAGAGAATGTCTGCGGGAGTCTACTTTGGTTTGTGTAGAACCTCTATGTAGCAAAGCACAGAGGGCCTTGCAAGAGAATTCAGCAAAAACACAAAGCTGTCAAGTGTAAAATGGCTGGAACAAGGAAATCCTGGAAAATAGGGGTCCAATTAAGAGGCTGCCATAAGTACCCACATGCGTAGTATTGGGGGCTCAGTGGGGCCTGGAGGAAAGAGATAGGAGGAAGGCATCTTGCAAGGCAGGATTAGCCAGAGCAAGGGAGAGTAGGGGACAGGACCACACTCAGGTTTCAGCAACATGGCTGCAGAAGCACGAAACCCCCTAAACCCGAGGATGACCCGTGTTTAAAGGGGAAGAAGCCAGATCGAGAGTGAGACGCCTTTTTTTTTTTTTTTTTTGAGACAGGCTCTCACTATGTAGTTCAGGCTGGCCTTGAGCTCAGCCTCCAAATCCCTTTTATGAGACTCATCTCATAAAAGGAGGAGGAAAAGGAAGAGGAGGAGGAGGTAGAAGGAGGAAGAGGAAGCCACCAAGGTGCCACCAAAACAACCCTGTGGAAATGACATTTTCTTTTAGACGAAGGATCTCCCAATAATAAAGATGCAAGGCTGCATGGTCTTGCTGGGTGCTGACTCTAGAGTTAGTCTGCCCAGTTAGAACCCAGCTATGCCACCTGGAGAGCTTGGGCCTTCGCTCACCCTCTCTGAGCTGAGCCTCAATTTCCTTAGCCAAAATTGGATAACAGAAGCACTTCCCTCATTGAGTCACAGAGGGAATAATAAAATGCTTAGATTATTCCCTGGCACATAGAAGGTGTGAAATAAATGTTAACTTGTAATCATCATTATCATATAAATGTCATTACATACATAGGAGTCATAGGTAAAACTTAAAAATAAAATACATATATTTACTCATCCATTTATTTAATAAACATCCATTAAGCATGCTTGAAGGTTGGGTCCAGAGACCTGGAAAAGAACATAGAAAAGAGAAAAGGAAAGGTCGGTGTGATGGCTCACATCTGTCACCCCAGCAAACAGGGAGGCGAGTCAGGATCGCAAATTCGAGGTCAACCTGGAACTGTCTCAAAGAACTGAAGGGGGTGGGGGACAGAGAGACTGATTAAGAGACTGGAGAGAAAAAGACTTGTGAACTCTACTGTTAAGGAGGAGGCAGACAGGGAATGCAGGCCGGTGGAAAGGAAGATGACAAGGAGAGTCTGTCCTTTGGTACCATATGCAGCAAGGATAAGGAAATGGAGACCTAAGCAATCCTCTATCTCAGGTGTTGGTTTCCGGGCTGCAGACCAAGGGTGCTGAGGAGAGATGGAGGATAGGCACTCAGAAGTTCCTGTTCCTGGCTGACCCAGGAGGACAGGGTCTGTGTCAGAAGCTGCAAAGCCCTTCCAAATCAGAAAACAAACCACCACTAGGGGGCACCAGAGCCCTTCAGATCCCTTTCTCATGGCACACCATGGCGGGAGACAAGTCACTGCGTTCACAGTCCAGTGGCTCTGTGAAGTCTACGAAAGTGAATCAGCTGCCTAGGAGTAAACATTGCCTGTGAGAGGGCCCAAAAGCCAATTAAGAAATCCTCATTCTCACCTAGCCACTTATGCCTTCATTTTGCCTGCAAAGATTTAAACTCAAGAACACTGCAGACAGACTTAAGAATGATGAAGAGGATATATTTTGTTATTTTTCCACGATTTTTAAAAAAGTTTATTTAAATGTTGTTAGGCAAAGAATCAGAACTACACAAGTTTAGTGTCTTTGACAGACACACTGATACAGGCGTAAAGAATGAAAATACCAAACCAAGATGTCTTATCTTAAATAAGATACTTAAATCAGGTGAGTACATAGCATCCCAAAACATATGTAAGCACATAAACCAATACAGAGAATACTTTTTTTTTTTTTTGAGACAGGCTCTCACTATGTAGTTCAGGCTGGCCTTAAGCTCAGTATGTAGCCCCAATTGAACTTGAACTCACAGTAACTCTCCTGCCCCAAACTCTCAAGTATTGAGATTATTAGGTGGGCACTACCATACCCAATATATTTTTAAAAATATGATCATAATTAAAAAACAAACACTGAACTGTAATTCCCTTAGTTGTTAGGGACATATAATTCCTTTTTCAGGCCATATAATAATGTGGTATACTTTGTAGTTCAATAGAACTTAAACTTCTAGACAGTTGCACCATAAGTAGCTTTCTTCCCATTAGAACCCCTAAAACATTTAATTTGATATTCTAACTTAAACAAATGAATGTTAAATTTAAAAAATAGTGTATGGAACACATTCTAGAAGAAGCCAGAATGAGAGAGGCAAACAGGCAGGGTTAACCCTGAAATAATTGTGTCGATTGCTGCCCAGCCCCCTACTCTGCCCCAGATAGAACCAGTACCCCAGAAGACAGGAGAGGAAGCAGCTAACTGACCCTCAGGCTCCCAATTTTAATGTTTCCTAGGCTGTAATGCTTTTTCACCCTCAATGCCTGTAGAGTTAAGGCCTCTAACTCTCACGGGCTTCCACATTCTGGCTGGTGAAATGGTGGAAGAGCTGTGATACTGCCAAAATCTCAGGGCCTCTGACTTCTGTGAGCCATAGTCTAGTACCAGGACCTTTGGTTTCATATTGCTCCAATCACCCTAAAGCAGGAATTTTACAGCATTCTAATCACAACAATACATGGAAAGTGCTTTTCCAAACTCCATCACATGCATCTGATTTGAGCTTCACAGCAACTGTAGGAGTTTCATCCATAGCTTAGAGGGTAGCAAATAGACTGGAAGGTGAAAGGTCCTCAGGGATCTGTCCACAGTGATCTAACAAGTGGTGAAACTAGGGATCAATTTCACCTCCTTTCTTTCATTCACCCATGTATTCATGTGTTCATGTGTCGAGTGTCTGTTCTGTGCCAGGCACTGTACTGTCTAAAGCCAAGTCATATGTCCCTTTAACTTCTTGTCACCCACTTACTCAGCCAGTGCAGTTCCTAGGGGATATCTGTTCTCTGTGCATTTTTTAAGACAGGGTCTCCAAAAAATTCTCTGTATAAATTGGACTGGCCTTGAATTCAACATCCTCCTGCCTAGTCACCAAGTATTGGGATTACAGATACCTGGCTCCTCCTTTCTGCATCTTGAGCACCTGGTACTGGACCTGGAGCAGGGAAAATTCTTAATAGTGAGGTTTCAGATCCCCTTCAAATTCCAGGCTGTAGGTGTTTTTGTGGAGGTTAAAATGCACACAGTTTTGCTTCTCACTTAAAGCCTTTACAGTCAATAGAAAAAATATCTTCCCCTAAAAAGAAATAAAATCTTACGGAGAACTAAAAACATCCTTTTCCATTCCCATCATTTCCCTTCATCCCCTCATCCCCAAATGGATCCCAATCCACCTCATCCCCAAAACTGGCTGTTCTGGGGCTAACAGGTCTCAATTTCTCCTCTCCTACAGATTTGTTACCCGAAAGAACCGCCAGGTGTGTGCCAACCCAGAGAAAAAGTGGGTTCGAGAGTACATCAACTCTTTGGAGATGAGCTAGGAGAAGAACCACCTTGAACCTGACCTTGTAGAAACTCCGCTGCTGCTGCTTGTTCTGGTCTTAACCAGTTTAGGAAACTTCTCAATCCCTACTCTCATTCATCCTTGGGAGGGCATGGATTCTATTACAACACAGCAATGCTAGCAGCTTCTCCCACTTAGAGGCTAAAAGAGCTATCGAGGCCCTGCCGTGGCCATGGGAAGTCTCTAGGTTCCCAGGCCTCTCACCTGGCCCACTGCTTAGCAATGAGGAAGGGAGTCAGCACATCTTTCAAGGCAAAGAAGCAAGGCTGGACTCCCACAGGAATATCTGGGGTCCAGTGTGCCCATCTCTAGCTCTCACAATGGCTTAGTGGCCAACATTAGAAATCAGCTTTTTATTAAAATTCTCAGTGCAATTACAAAGATGGCTTCTGGTTTGATTTCCTCCTTGGGAACCTTCTGTCCCAAACACACAGAGATTCGGGCTTGCAGACATCCAGTGTTCACTCCAGACTAGTGGCCCTCCCCAGTGATCAGGATTGGGAGCAAAAGCTCTCTGAGGGAGGGACATGGGGGCAGAGCAGATAAAGTAACTGGTGATTTATCCCAGGCAGGAAGGGAGAGGAGTCACTATGCCCCGTCCCCTCCAAGTCCCCAAGTGTTTATCTGTCTCCCTGTCTCAACACCTCCACTTCCTCAGATTTTGTTTGGCCTTTCCACCTTAGCCTACCCACATCTTATCTTCAGTGAGTTTCTTCAACCCCATCATTGAGCCAGAACAGATCAAATGGCAATTCTAAAGGTCTTGGGTCTTTCAAACAAGAATGAGACATTTTGTGGTTTTTTTTTTTTTTTTTTTGGTCTTTTTCATTTTTTATTGGTACCAGGGATCAAACTCATGACTGCCTGCTTGCAAGGCAGGCGCTTATGCCACTGAGCTAAATCCCCAGCTGACATTCTGTGGTTTTTACAACTGCACTGGCATCTTTTAGGTAGGAGTATTCCAACTTTTCCCATCTACATAAGCCACTTGTGTGAACATATACCAACAACAGACACAGCCATAGCTGTAAGTATACAGCAAAACACTGACTTGTCCTCTTACATTTACCATCCTCTTTTTTATCCTTATAAAATAACGAAGAAGATACTATTGATACTATGTTTCTGTTTACTTGGCAAGTGGTATATCATTGGCCTAAAACCCCATAGCCAAAAAAGGGCAAGAAAACAAGTGTTTAAAACTTAAAGCTACTAGGTCTAATAATGCCAAAGCTCATACTTTATTTCTCATCTTTAAAATTTGCAGACTTATATGTACATATTTACAAGATTACACCTATATACTCTTCATCCAGATTCAACGATTAACATTTTACCATATTTATCTTTCTCTGTGTGCCATTGTACATGTATGAGGATAGTATACATACTTTGTCTGGATTATTTGAAAGCTGCACATGTGATATCACATCAACCCTAGAAGTTTCAGTGTGTATCTCCTAATAACCACAAAATGGGTAACACACTCAGGAAACTTAACAAAGACATACTATTACCTTCTAATATACGATCCATCATCAAATTCTCCCAAACAACCCCAATAATGTCAATAGCTACCTTTTAAAATTCAGGATCCAATTAAGGTATACACATTGGATTTAGCTGTCATGTCTTCTTAGTGTCCTTTAGCATACTAAACATCAATTTGAAACATCAATGTTTTTAGGAGTTGAGAGCAGATTTTTGTTGAATGTGTTTTTACTTGGAATAATTGCCTAATTATTTCCTCATAATTATACTCAGGTTAACCACTTCCGGTAGGAACATCATTTGGGTGGTGTTGTCATTCTCAGTATGCCACATCAAAGCACATGATGTCAGTTCACTGGAGATGTGAAAAGCGTTGACTTAGTGGTCCATGAATTCCTGTTACTGTGCTAGGCACTGAAGGTAGGATGGGGAAATCACAACTGAGAAGTGAATAACCACAAGTCACAGCCTTCACCTTCAGGCAACTCATAGTCCAGGGAGGATGATGGCCCTAAGAACATATCAAACATATGACATAAAGGAAGCAACTATACAAAAGAACGCAATCACACTGTGGGGAGAGGGTTACATCAATGAGGGTGGGACAGGGAGCATGAAAGGAAACTTCAGAGATGGAATTTATAGTCCTGTGGAACTTGAAAGATTTCAGTTAACAATTTAACAGGTAGAAAAGGAAGGGAAGGCATTGATAGGCAGAGGGAACAGCACATGCAAAAGTAGGAGGTATAAAAAGCAGCTCCTTGGGCCAAGAGTTTAGCTCAGTGGTATAAGTGCCTGCTTGGCAAACTCAAAGTCATGAGTTTAATTCCCAGGACCAAAAAAAAAAGCAGCTCCTTACTATATAATGCAGTCTCTTGCTGCGGGGTGGTAGTGGTGGTGTATGTATATAAAACGGGCTTTCCCATTCCCTGCCAGTTTCTTATTTGACTAATCCTTTTAAAAAAAAATGCTCTGACTTTTTAATGCCTCACCACAACTTTGTAGTTAGCTAGACAAACACGACCTCATTGTTTTAGCTGAAGAAAGTGAAGCTCAGAGATATGAGGTGACCTGTTCGGTCCACAGGCTGGCAGAGGCCAGGGTGGAGCCCAAGAATGGAACTTAGGTGTTCTATTTACCAAGGTGACCTGGTTGTTCAGCACTTGGAAGCTTCTGCCTTCAGAAATCTGTTCACCTGATTGCACCAAATCTCTTGCTCCAGGGAACGGGTCTTCTATAGTTGTGTGCCTTCTCTCCCAGGGCCCTAAACAACTCTGCCCAGGTTCCCTCTTGCCCCAGCAGAAGAAGATGGCCTGTGAAAAATTAGACATATTTGAAATTTCCAGGTCAATGTTCATGTACCCATGGCTGGAATATCCAGGCAGGACCAAAGGTAAGGAAGGGGTGAACAGGAATGAAGCTGGGGCAGGGGCCTGTAAAAGTGAGGCTACCTGACACCCCATCCCAGACAAGGGGCTGAGCGAGTTCAGCAAGCCCATAGGACAGGCCTTGGACACACTGATGTCCCACAGTCCTCAAGGTAAGTCCCCAGCCCCTCAGCAGGACTTACAGGGCCCTCTTAAATTAAGACATCTGCTTCCCAGCTTCTGCTCTCACAACTGTATCCTGACCTGTATCTAACTCTCACACTTCCAAATGTTTGCAAAAGTTGTTCCTGTGCCTAACGCTGTTTCCCTTTATGTATCTGGCTAACTGTTATATGACTGAGACTTGACTTGTACACTGTCTCTCTGGGAAACCTTTCCTCATTCTCCCAGCCGGGTTAGGTGCTTCTCTGGAATGCATCTTTATCCAGCTCCACATTTGTTTCCCTCTGTTAGTCACTAAGAAACATGTGGTTCTCAAAACATGGTCCTAGAAGCAGCACCACCATCATCTGTGTTAGAAATGCAAATTATCAGAGCCCATCCCAAATTTAGTGAATTAGATACTAAGGGGATAGGTTCCAGAAATCTGTGTTTTAACAAGCTCTCCAAGTGATGCTACTGCATATTCAAGTTTGAGAAACTGAACAAGAGCAATGGTTTTTACCCCAAGCTGAACATTTGAATCTTCTGCAAATCTAAGATGCCTAGCTCCTATCCCCACAGAATCTGATTCAATTAATCTGATGCAGGCCTTAGGAACATTCAAAGTTCCCCAAAATAATTCTAATATGTAGGCAAGATTAAGGATATCTGCTAGGCCTGCGTAGCTTAAACTTCAGCTACATAGGAATTACCTGTGGATTTGTTCCAAGAAAGGTCCTGCCTCAGTAGGCCTGGGGTGGAGCCTGAGGCAGCATTTCTGAGATACTCCTGGCTGCTGTTCTACAGCCCACAGCAGCAATACACTAAAAGACTATGAGATGCTTAAGGGCCTTACTTATCTCCCTGGTACCCTGTAAAATATCTAGGGTAGTACTCAGTGCTAAAGAGAGGAACGCCTAATTAAGTGATTCTTTGACTGACCTTTGTATCTGCACATACTCCTACTCCTCTTGCCAGAATTCAGAAAAGTCATGGCTCCTGTTCACCTGCCCTTGTCCTACTACAAGGTAAGACTTCTACCCTGAGAACTGTGTCAAAATGGGAGGCCAACTGAGAAAATCCTGACATCACCTCTGAGGCCACCATTAACTTTGTGTGAGCTTGGACAAGGAACTTTCTCTCTCTCCGGAGCTTTCTCTGTCACAGGCCGGCCCTTGCTATCCCCCGTGTATGAGAAAGTCTGCAAGGCCTGGGTATGCAGGGAAAACTACTAACAGGATTAGTTAACATGCAGATCTTCAGGCTTCCCAGATGGAACACAGAGTGCTCAACAACTTAAATTTCAGATAAACAATGACTGGATTTTTAATACATACATGTCCCAAATATTTCATTTGCTACCTAAAATCCAAATTTAATTCAATATCCCTCTTGGTTCTTTGGTTTGTTCTGTGCTATATAAGGAAACCCTACTTACCATAAGTCAACCCTCCATTTTCTGAAGTCATGGCAGTCACTTGAAGACTCTTATTACAACTTTTTCCATCACTAAGGTGGGAACTGCTGGGTAAATCGCCTTCCCCTATTTCCCCAGAGAGATCAGTCCTAAAGAAAAGAAGGCTGGAAAAGTTATAAAGACAGGAAGGCTGGTTCCCAGTCAAATCCTCAGAAAAATTTCCTGACACATCCAAAACCCTCCACTGTAGTCAAAGCTGTAACTACACAGCTAAAAACCAGGGATGTAACTTAGAGGTAAAGCACTTGCCTGCATAAGACCTGAGTTAAATCCTCAGTGTGCACATGCACACACACACACACACACACACACACACACACACACACCCCATATATATATATATATATGAGACAGATTTGGAGAAAGTCTATTTTCCCAACTAAATTTACAAAGGAAAGGAAGATAACTACATCCTTAGCACATGGAGCTTTGCACATAGTAGGTAATCAGCATCAGTAAATATCTGAATGAGCTCAAACTAGACTCATGTCTGTAAAAAAAAAAAAAAACTCTGAATGAGCAATGGCCTGCCTTTAATCCGTAACTTCCCCAGCCCTGTCTTTCATTTCCCTCCCTTCCCAAATGTCCTTCTGAAAGTACACTGAGATCCTAAACTGATCACATTGTGGACTCAGATCAATTTATAGATCACTTCAAAATCTAGATCTCTTTTCATACAGCCTTGAGAGGGGAACAGAACAAGGATTATTAGCTCCATTTAAGAGACGAGAAGACTGGTAAAGTGAAATAACTTCTTGCCCAGGTTACATAAGAAGTGGTATCTGTGACTTCAATCAGAATAAGAGGCTAAAGATTGCCTCACCCCACGCTCTCAACTGTCCACCCCCCTCTCCTGACTTCCAACACTCAGGTAAGGATCTAGAGACTCCTGACAGCTCTGCCACTTGTACCCCTAAGGCACCAAAGGAAGAGCTCCCTCCAAGTCCAGAATGCTGGAGGCAGCACCCGAGCAAGCCAAACGCAACCCCTTACTGCTACTCTAAGAAACCTGAGATCTACACACACTGGCACACTCTGTATGACCAGCGAAAGGAATGGGAGGACCAAAAAAAGTTACTGAAAATGAGAAGCCATTTTCCTAAGTATGCTCTGTCCACTCCCATAGCCTCATCTTTTAGGAAAAAGAGGAAGGGGAGGGGGAGGTAGGCTACGGGAATTATGTGAGTCCACAGGTCCAAAGGAGGACCCTGGGGTAGAAAGGCAGCTTAGTTAAGGGTGTAGATATCACTGAGCCCCCATCTGTCTTTCTTTGGTCCCATCTCTGATCTGGGCTGAGGCCGTGTTGCAGGGGTGGGGCAGTGACTGAAGAGGGAAGGAACAAAGGGACAGAGGCTTCTTGTATAATTTCTCACACAGGAACCTCAAAAGCAGTACCCAAAAATTCCACCTTCCCATCAGCAAGTTGACCATAAAACCTCAGCTGGGATTTGGGCCCTTAGAGCCTACCAGGGATCACCTGAAGTGGCAAAGACTAAAGGTCAGGACTATGGTGGGAAGGGGCATGAGGAGACTTCCTACCTATGGGCTCCTTCACCTTAAATTCACGCCACCCTTCAGCCTTAGTCCCTCCCTGCAAAACCTGGGCCCAGGGGAGTGGGGGATCAGACTGGCTGAGCTGCCTTCAGTTTGAAGTTTTATATTTTCCTTTTTTCTTTCCACGGGCTGCCTTGGATGTGTAGGAGCTCACAAAAACCTTGAACTCTCCTAGAGAAGATGAGCAGTTCTATGCAACACAGGTGAGAACCAGCAAAGACAGAAGGGGGCAGTTACACCTAAGAGATGGCCCAGCTGGAAAGAAACAAGAAGCCAGAGGTGGTTGGTGGAGTTAAGGGCAGTGTTCTAAATACCAACTCCAGCTGTGTCTGGGAGATAGTAACTCCTGGGGGTCCTTTCTACTCTCTCTTCCCTTTCCTGTATCCCTCTTTCTACAGGCTCTGGGGTATCTTGGCATTAATGACCAGATTGTTATGAAGGCACTGTGGCAAGTGGTGAGTCTGGGCACTGCGTGGAGTTTAGAGAAAGTGGAATCAGAGTCTGAGCTGTGTAGAGGGTGGGCACATAGGCACAAGACCAGACTCCCGAGGGTGCCAGACTGATTGGTCAGAGCCAATGAAGAAAGAGCCACCAATATGTGGCGTATCTCCAATTCATGCCCTTGGCCTCTTTAAAGAGCAGCTGGAGGAAAGGGAGAATTTATATGTTCCCTTACTCTAACAAAAGATGCTGAACTGAAAAGCCAGGGAAGAACTGAGCCTGAGTTAATTCATGAACTGAAACAACACTCCAGGCTTTTCAGTCTATTTACAATCGGGAGCATGTTTTCTCCTTGATAACTCACTTAAAACATTAAGAACAGTTACTGGTGTCTGTATTTTTCTAGTGTAAAAATTGAAGCTCTGAGGATCCAAGCCTAAGTGGCCACTAAATGCCAGACACAGATTTGAATGAAAGTCTAACTCCCGGGTTCAGTGCTCCTTCCACTGCACTCTCTTGACTATACTGTGTTTGTGCATAAACATGTCACTTTCTAAACCTAGGCTCCTATTTCATAAAATGAAAAGCTAAGCTAAGAAAGCTCCTAAAGCTCTGACATTCCATCACTTTATGTTATGTTTCCATTTTGTTTTATTTTATTTTTGTCTTTTTCCTTTTTATCGGTACCGGGGATCAAACTCACGACTGCCTGCTTGCAAGGCAGGTGCTTATGCCACTGAGCTAAATCCCCAGCCCCTTATGTTTCCATTTTAAATCAGGCCCAAACTGGTCCAAAGAAAGTGAAGTATGAGGCTTATCGAACCCTGGCCATCCTGGGTGAGTATGTCACCTCTCTTGGTGGGGAGTGGACAGAAGTGCAGCCACATCTTTTTGAAAGGGCAGAAGGGAATCCCGCATTTGACAGACACTTAAAATTATCCTAGGTACTTCTGGGTAGAGGAGGGAGATGGAGCAAAAGGGAGACAGACAGACGGAGGGAGAGAGAGAGGCAGAGAAAAAGACAGAGACAGAAACATAAACTCCATAAATTGTATTCACAATCAGCCAGCTGCTCTGGTGTCCTGAGAGAATGGGCAGCACCCTAGAACCTAGTGCTTGGAACTTCTTTAAAGAGTACAGTGGAGTTCAGTGGATTGTTGTGGCTTTGCCATGTAACCTGCTGACCCTCCCTGTCCAGGATGCCTGAATAAGCATGTGATTCACGCTCTCATTATACAACTGAAGGAGGAAAGTGAGGGCCAAAGGATGGAGGCTCTGACAAGGCTACGAGTGGCTCTGAACTCCTGGGCTGCTGTCCCTGAAGACAAGGTGAATGGAAGGGTCTAGAATTGGGGAAAAGCAAGTCAATGTGATTGACAGGTTTGGCTGTAGGCTGGGTCAGAAAAGAGAGTACCTAGTTCTCAGCTTTAATAGAAGATATTAACCTTGTGGCATTCCCTCTAGAGATGAATAGGAGAACACAGCTTGTGCAAGGACTAATTAGACAAACTCTCAAAATTCAGAATGCAGAGCCAGGTATTTTTCATCTTTCAAATGGAGGCAATAAATGTTTTACAAAATACTAAGTGAGATAATGTACTATATGAGATAACGTACCTACTATAATGTCCTGTGTTTTTTAAATGGTAACCATCATTATAAATCTCTACAATCACCTACTGAAGCAAAACCTGTCAAGAAGTGACAGGGAAGCTGGGTGTGATGGTGCACACCTGTAATTCCATCACTTGGGAGGCTGAGGCAAGAGAATCGCTGCAAGTTCGAGACCAGCCTGGGCTACAAAGTGAGCCAAAGGCCTGCCTGAACTGCATAGTGAGACCCTGTCTCAAAAAGACACACACACAAAGAGAAGTGACAGAGAACAAGATAGTCCTGACACTACTCTGTTTTCTTCCCCTTTTAAATTACTCTTCCTTTGATTCTATCACTGTTCCATATGAACAAGAACCCATCATGCATCCATTTATTTAGCAAATACATCCCAACAGATAACATATGCCAGGTACCATCACAGACACTTGCACACGTCAGTGAACCAAACAGGCAAAGATCCCTGCTGCTGTGGAACTTACACTCTAGGGGAAGGAAACTCACAGTAATAAAAAAAAAAAAAAAGTTGTATTATATGTCAGGAGTGCAATTGGAAAAATTAGGTTAACAGAACAAAGGTGACAAGTGGGGAGGAGTTGCAATGTAAGTATGGTAGACAGGGAAGATCTCATTTAGAAAGTACAATTGAACAAAGCTGTCTTAGTTACTTTTCTTTTTGCTGGGACACAATATCTGATAACCGCAAGTTAAAGGAGGGAAAGTTTATTTCAGCTCACAGTTTGTAGAGATTTCCAATTCACATTCAGTTGGCTCCAAGACACAGTGGCACGGAGAGGGACTTCATAAAGAAGAAACAGTTCATGGTATGGCAGGCAGAAGGTAGCAAAGCAACAAGCAGCAAGTACCAAACCTGCCTTTCCTTTTATTCCATCCAGGGTACAAGCCACTTGTTGGTGCCACTCACACAAAGGGTGGGGCTTGTTTTCAGTGAATTCATTCAGCTACCCCCATAATTATACTAATTCTGATCAGAAGACTAATTTAATATCACACCCTATATCCAGCCAACTCCCAAAAGCCTGACCTGCACAAGGCTTTGGAGGGACATCTAGATACAAGCCATAACAAGCTATGAAGAAGATGACAGAGTTAGCCTTAGAGGTATCTGAGAGAAGGTATTTTAGGTAGAAGGACCAGTCAATGCAGACAAGAACATGCTTGACACAGTCAGGGCACAGCAAGCAAGCCAGTGTGGCTGAACTGAAGCAGGAAAAGGAAGCAATAAAAAATAAAGGTCAGGTTAAAGAAGTTAACAGTAGACTAGAACACACACATGGCCTTTTTGGGCTATTTGAAATATTTGGGCTTTTATTCTGAGTGGAATTGGGAGCCATTAGAGGTTTTTGAGCAGAGAAGTAATGTGATCCAACTTACATTTCACTCTAACGGCTGTGTTGCAAAAAGACTGAGGCAGGGGAAGAGGACAGGAAGCAGAGAGACCAATTAAGGGTTATATCCTGTAAGTGGTAATGGTGGCATAGACATAATGGTTACAGTTGCATTAGTAAGACGATTAAATACTGGATATTTTAAAAGCAAAACTCTGACGAGTGTGAGTTGTAGAAGACTGAGGAAACAAGGGTGAAGGACAAGGTTTTTGGCCTAGCAACTAAAAGAATACAGTGGGCATGAAGGATGAGAATACTGCAGGGAACCAGGTTTGGAAGGATCAGCCTAAGTTCAGTCTGGACAAGTTATGCCTTACATGTCTTTTGGAATTCCAAGGGAGATGTCAAGTAACAATTTGGACTTTTCAAAGTAGAAGTAGAAACAGAAATTTGGGAGTTGGTAGCATACAGATAGCACTTAATACCTAAACTAAAACTAGATAAGATCACTAAGAAATTACCAAGAATCTAGTGCTGAGGTATTCTGGTGTTAATAGGTCAGGAAGAAGAGGAAGAACTAGTAAATTTCAAGAAGTAGCCAATGAAATTGGAAGATAATCTAAAGTGTGATGTTCTGAATATCAAACAAAAGAACATGTCAGGCAAATATCATATCAAAGAATGTAAGAATTAAAAATTGAGGGGCTAGGGATTTAGCTCAGCGGCATAAGCGCCTGCCTTGTAAGCGCATGGTCGTGAGTTCGATCCCTGGTACTGATAAAAAAAAAAAAAGAATTGAAAATTGAGACGTGGCCTTAACAATATGGGAATCACTGATTGTCTTAACAGAGTCATTATAGTGTGGTGGGGGATACAGACTTGATCAAAATGAGTGTAAAGGCTGGGGATGTAGTTCAGTGGCACAGCACCTGTTTGTCAAGCAAGGCCCTGAATTCAATTCCCAGTACAAAAACATTTAAAAAAAAAAATGAGATTGAGCAGAAAAAAAAAACCAGCAAATATGGACAACTTTCTAAGTTTTGAATAAAAGGGTGGTAGTTGGCACTGGAAAAAAAACAAAAAATAATCACATATTTCTATGCTGAGGATAATGATCCAGTAGTTAGAAAAAATGATTTTGATGAGAACAAGGAGAGTTACTACAAAAATATCCTTGAGTAGATAAGAGGGGATGAGATCTCTATAAAGTGGAAAGACAGACTGGCTATAGACAGATGGGTATACAAAGCATAACGACAAATATAAAGGAAGAGGAAGCTACAAGTAATAGGAAGTATCTAAGAAACTTCTAGAGTATCTAAGAAACTTGCTTTTTATTTCCCAGTGAAACAGAAAGTAATTATCTGTGAGTTAACAAATAAAGAAATGTTAGACACTCTGGAGGGAAAGGTTAGAAATTAAGGAAAAAGGGAAAGAGAATGAGAGAAAAACAGTATGATTAACAAAAACATCAATGATCTACATAAGGTTTGAGTACATACATTTAAAGCAATATCAGTCAGTGTGAATGGGTGATTTTTCTCCATGAAGTACAAATACAGAGTAAGTGGAGAGTTGGACTTAACTAGGACTGTGGTTTGGTCAAGGGAGTACAATGAAACAAGATGGGGTAGGGTAGGGTGAGGCAGGAGAATGATTATAAAAGGACCATGGAATTTAAGTTGGGTAGAGGGAAGTTAAGGGTCAGTGAAAAGGTGGCAGTTTCAATGGATTGTTAGTCTTTTACGGAATCAATTGGCATTAGGAGATGAGCTGGAGAAATAGGAGGTAATATTCAGGGTGGGATCAATGAAATGGAAATTATGGAAAGGTTTTAAAACATTAAGAATTAAGATAACAGAAATGTTAAAAGAAGTAATGGTCATCAATCCATAAGATAAAGTCACATAGATGTGACCTGGGAGCAAGTAGATAATAGCACAAATGAAAGATGGGTGAAATAATAAAGTGATGGCATGAAATTTAGCTAGAGAGAAAAGAGAATGGTCTGGAAGCAATGGTAAACTACCAACTAATAAACGTGAAGTCTGACTGAAATCACAGCTCATTATCCCTACTGTCTTCCTCAGAGGACTCAAGTCGGGAATGAAGAAGAGCTGGTACTTGTGCTGCAGACACTGTTAAAGTCGTCCTCTGGTGAAGCAGCCCTGGAGGCAGCCCTGTGCTTGGGTTTCCTGAGGCCTTGTAGCAACATGGCCCAAGAGTCATTGCTGCAGTGCCTGTGCCAAGGGACCAAGACCCAGCAGATGAAGGTGTGAGGGGCAGGAGGCTGGGCTCCCTGGGGCAAGAGAGGCCAGTGCTGACTTAGATGATATTTGTCATCTTGTCCCGAAGAAAACAAGCCTTGGCTGGGAGTCGAGCAGGGTCCTCTGTGAGTTTAGAATGCACATATGCACATACATGGGATTATACTAACATGTAAGTATGCACGTGTCTGTGCATACTTGGGATGTGCAAAGGTTCATTTATGCATGTGTGCATATGTGCACATATAACTTTGTTTTCACTCAAGAGGCAAAGAGACAAAAGAAAACACCTCACCTGTTCCCCATGGTTCTACAACCAGTTCCCAGTCCACCTGGCCATCCAGATGTCGCTAGGTATACACCTGTACACCATGCCCCACCGCACTCCTCACAGGCACTCAGGATGCTGGTCAGGATCATGCACGTGCACTCCGCTGCAGTCACCAGGGCAATTCTGGCTCAGCTATGTTCTAGTGTCATTGAGGTAAGCTCTGGGCTGCCTTGTACCCTCCCTTCCTCGATACTAGGACAGGGTTGGGATATGAGAAAGGAGACCTATTTTTCACATTTCTGCCTCTCAGGACCGCTTCGAAGCCACTGAAATGCTCAGGACCATTGGACTAGAAAAGATCAAGGCACAGGGGCTAGAGGAACTCACATTTGACCTGCTTAAATGGAAGACACATTACGAACCCTTCTTTGTGAGACTATATCTTGCAAGCCCAGGAAGACTAAAGCTGTCTTGCCCCTTCTCTGAAGGGTCCTGTTACACTACCCAGCAGTATCACACTCATCTTAACTTACTCCCTGTTCCCCTAGGGTGACTCATGTTTTTAAACCACTTTCCCTTCACTTAGGTTATTCCCTCAGTTCAAAATACTCCGTTAGACCCCTCTTTATTCTGTAGGATAAAAACTGACTCTAAGGATTCACCGCTTTCCAGTCTATAAAAATGCTATTTTGCTCTCTCAAGACCAGCACAAATGACAGCTGATACAGTTTCCCAAATTGCCAGTCAGACTCAACCTGGCCTTCCTCTGTGCTTCCTTACTTTTTACTACAGAACCATCCACAGTACTTCTATAGTCATTTTTCTAAAATATAAATCAGATTGTGGGGCTGGGAATTTAGCTCAGTGGTGTAAGCACCTGCCTGGCAAGTGCGAGGTTGGGGGTTTGATCCCCAGTACCAAGAAAGAAAATACATATATCAGATTGTGTCTTATCTCTGCAAAACCTTCAGAGAGCTGGGATTTAGCTCAGCAACATAAGCACCTGCCTGGCAAGCATGAGGTTGTGAGTTCGATCCCCGGTACAAAACAAACAAACAAACAAAAAAAACCTTCAGAGTTTCTCAGTGCCTTTAGGATTGCTTCCTTTGCCTCACAACTTGAGCCCTGCCTCACTCTAGCTCCACCTTCACCTCTTTCCCCCTCAGAGCCATATACCAGGTATACTTACAATGATCAGGTCCTGATTCAGACTTGCTGGCTCAATGTTAATTACTCAGAATGCCATTAGTTCCAGTTTGGTCACCTCCCTATGTGAACTATTTTGGTTTCCATCCTCTATTTTTTCTTGCCTCGTTTTGCCCATCCTCTCCCCTTGGCACAGGAAATCACACTCATACACAACACACACACACACACACACACACACACACACACACACCCTTCTGTTGCTTAACTCTCACCCTGAAAGTTTCAGCTGAGGCATTGTTTTCTCCCCCGGCAAAGCTCCTGCAGAATATCCTTCTATATGCTCCCTATATTGTCACTTACTTGTCTGCTTCCTCAGACTATGAGCTCTCCAAAGCAGGCATCCTATTAAGAGTTTAATAAAGTCTTGTGAAGTACTTAAACACCTCTGCATTCTTTTCTCTGTTGTCCCACTCTGGTTTCTCTACAGGCTGTAAGACAAGCTGTGGCTGAAACTGTGGAAGAGTTCAAGATGAAGCCTATGATGTTGAACTTAATGGAAGCGTAAGTAGACTGGGCTGGGAGCTGCTAGGGTCAAATCCCAAGTTTGGTAGGGGAACACAGGAGCTGGCTGACAACCTTGCTTGTGCTGCTATGTAAGTCACTCTTTGACCCCTTCTCGGGGGGGACTGGTTTTGTTCATCTGAAAAAAGAGACTATATCGCACCACTCAAGATTGCTATGAAACTTAAAAGACACTTTTAGAAGGTAAGGTTCTGGACAGATGAGTCATCTCATTTAGTACTTTGTGGCAAAGAATGGTATCTGTTTTTTCCCTTCCATTCCCCTTCTTAAGAAACAAAACAGGGAAATGGATGTTAACATCACCTATCAGCATTAGGCCCAACTCACTCCGGGCCTGAAAAGCATCCTGCCCCCACTTACCTGGACAACAAACTTACTGTCTTTACACAGGCAATTAACGCATCCAGGTGCCACTGCTCGCCAGCAAGCGGTTACCTCTTTGGTAAGGCAGACACTGCTTCTCTGACCCCAGTCCTATGCTACATTGATGGTAGGGAACAGACAATTGAATGACGTCCCAGCGGGGAAGAAAGGGCTATCAAGTTTTGAGAGGTTCATTTTAGAATTCTAGATTACGAATTCAGAGTAACCTGTACCTAGGTAAAACTTCAGGAGAAGGGTGTGTGGGTATTATGAGTGCAGCAACTGTCTTGACTCTTCTGGGTAAATAAAAGGAACTGGAATCCAAGCAGTGGCCCCAGTTGGCAAAGAAAGAAGTATCTCAGCTGGGAAATCATATCTTCTCCTCTAGCCCAAAAGGTTATCCAAAAGGACTAGAATGAGAAAGAGGATGGGGCATCTTCCCAGGGCTGGCTCCTTAGACAGGTCACTCTGCCTCTGCCAGGGTGTCCTGGGGATTCGTAGTCCACAAGTATTCTACTTGCTCCTCGACATGCTAGATGGAGACGAGAACCAGGATGTGAAAAAAAGTGTAAAGCATTTCTGCCATTTATTCCTTTTCTCTTTCCCTCCTCCTAACCTCTCCCATTTACCTCACCATGTGTTCCTTGTCAGAAGGAAAGGGAAGGAAGTCCTCAGACACTGTCCCTTGACCCAGTTCCTTACTATGGCTTCCCTTCCCTTGGGTGCCCCTACTCCTCCCAAGCTGAGCCCAAAATGCAAAGTCCTCGGAACTTTCTTTTAATGCAGCTACAAGAAACATTAATCATTTGGGCCTCAATTGACCCCTGGATCCAAAAGAAGCTAAAGAACAAGGTTTTCTTCGTCTATGAAGCATCTAAAACCAGGAAGAAGGCAGAGCCTACAAGGTTCTGGAAGGAGCCTGAATACCAAGAAGAGTTAAATATCCAAGATTTTCAACTTGCTAAGTTGAATCCCTTAACTATTACAAAGAGAATCACCAAGGTAGATCAAGAAAAACAGTTTCCTGACTTCCCATCCTATGTCTCTAAACCACAAAAACAAAAGCCACAGACGACAGGACCCTGGCAGCCAAGTACCAGGCAACAGCTCTGGGCCCTTGCTGAAATCTACAAATAGGTCAGCTCTTTGGGCCTACTTGCTCCCTGAGGATAGTTTTCATGCTTCTCTCAGGAGATAATACCCACCTACCTTTCATGAATAAATGAGTGTCTCAATACTTACCACCTGAGACGCTATTGCTGTTCCTGTCATCAGAAGGCACAGAGCCCAGGTCTCCTGGCTCCTGGACAGGTGTTCATCTCACGTAGCCATACCTCCTTTTCTCTCATCAGAGGAAAGAAGAGAACCAAAGCTCCTCTGGAAGGTGAGCCTAGCTCCCTAAATCAAGTTCTTGTCTGTGCCCAGAATTTGATGACAAAGCTCAGCAGCTGAGCCTGTGTCTAGAGGGAAAAAAGATGCTGAAGGAAAAAAAAAAAGACAAAAATATTGGGAAGCGTGGTTCTTGGATCATTTCTTATTAACTTGACCTGCCCTCCCCCCACCTTTACCCACCTCTCTAAGGTCACCAGGAAGTAATTTAGCTTCAGTCAGAGCCAAACAACCTCTATACTATATCTGGTACCTAGATGCCTGCTTTCTACCTTCTTCAGGGTCATTCCCTTTAAGAGATCTAATTTACACTGCAAAACTGTCTTTTCCTGAACTTCATACTAAAGGCCAACTCCAGTCCTAATAAGCTATAACCCTATCAAGAAAGAAATGTCCTAGAGGAGGTGACACCTCAGATGAAACTTGCAGGGTAAGTTAACCAGCCAGTGGTAGTGGCATGTGCCTGTAATCTCAGCTACTAGGGAGGACAAGTCAGAAGAATCACAAGTTTCAGGCCAGCCTAGGCAATTCAGGCAAGACTTGTCTCAATAAGGGGTGGCAGTGTAGCTCATCAGTAGAGTGCTTGCCTAGCATGCACAAGGCCCTGGGATCCTTAGTACCACAAATACAAAAAAAGACAAGCCTAGACTTTGAGGTCAGACAAAACTAATCCTAGGGTTCATCATTTATCTGATCTTTGACTTTGGCTAAGTTATTTAGCCTCTCTGACAGTGTTGTATTACCTATAACTGAAGAAAGTAATACATATTACCTTATAGTGCTGCTATGAAATTAATGTCTATCAGTGCCTGATATTACATGGTAAAACACTCAAATAGGAACTTTTTTCCCCCTCTCCTTTCTTTAACATTATCACATGAGCCCTAATCACCAGAAGTCAGAAAAACCATCTCCTACTACCCTCATTTATTCTAATTATATTGGAGAAGTTCTTCCCAATCAAGTACCGAAAGGTCAAATGGATCTCCATTTCCAGTCATCGTAGCACAGGTTCCAGAGCAGTTCAAATCGTATTCTACATTTAGGATAGTACACTGCCTAGCTTTATCTCTCAACCTGCCCCACCATTTCTAGATTCATGTTTTGCCTCAGAGTTTTAAATAAAAAGTGAACACAGCACTGCCTGGTGACTTCTCTGGTAATGTGTGAAGTCCACTTCCTTGCCTACTCTGCAGCTTTGGGTCCATAAATAAGAATAACTCAAACACCCTTAGACCTCAACATCCTGTGGATACAAGCGCTACCTTAACTGTATTTTCTAGGCTTTTAACCTCTACCAAACTTTTCCTATAGATTTCCAACCTCCCCAGCACACATAAACATATGGGCACGCCCGCTCACTAGTCTGTACTTCTGGGTGTCTCCAGAGAATCTTACAACTCAGTCAGACACTACCTCTGACTGTGTAACGTATCAATCCTAATTTCACCAATCTGTACTAGATTTAAGATAGCAACAAGCATAAACAGCATTACAGAGAATCAGCCTCCTGGTCCACTGATGTACCAGTGCTTTCCCAGAACCAAAGCATCCTAGATCAAACTCTTAAAAAGATTTAACTCAAGCAGTGGCTAACTTCTTTGAGCCCCAAGATGTCCCCTCAACCATCTTGATTGTTGGGACGGAGCCCTGAACAGGATCAAAATGTAAGCCTCTTTACCCTTTCCTGCTCTCAAATCTCTCAAAAGGTATCTCTCCACACACCCTCTGATCAAAGGCTACTGTTTTACACCTTTATGTAAGAATCCGTATCTGAGGGTCCTATTCTCCAAACAGCTATAAGACCCTCTGGTCCACTTTCCCATTTCCTCATTTATTGGTTGGAACTTAGTCTTAGCATTGCCCTAATTCCAGCCCTCTGGACAATTATCTAACACCCCAGGGCCTTGATCCTTGATCTCAACTTCAGCTACCTACTTCCATTGCCGCCTGACATCGTCAAGAACTGCTTCATCTCCAAATCTTAAACACCCTTTCTGACCTAAACTGATCTGTTATACTCACAACAAAACCTTTTGATTCATCAATCTTGACTTCCACACAATTTCATTAGTTCCTCTTACTTTTTTACTTCCTACTCAGTCTGTACCTTATCTATCAAACATTATCATCTCTGACCAATAAAAACCCTATTCTGGACAGGTGCAGTGGCTTATGCCCGTAATTCCAGCACTTATGGAAGAAAGATCTCATGTCCAAGCTCAGTCTGGGCTACTTAGTGACTTAGTAAGATCTTGTCTTTAAAAGGGGGTTCGGGGTGGCTGAGGATGTAGCTCAGTGCAAAAGCCCGGAATTCGAATCTCTAATATGGGGAGGGGGTTAACCTCAACTAAATTAGCTTTGTTCCTGTAACTATATTGCTGATCAAAGCTAAAGTGACCTATCCATATAGACTGATACTTGCCCCTCTCCCCAAATACTGCCTTCCTTTTATCTGAGTTTACAGTAGGTAAGAGCAAAGGAACTAAGGCCAAGTTCCTAAGGATTAGAAGCCCAGCTCTGTCACTCACTTGGAGACGTACTCTTGGGGCAAGTTGCTTAACCTTAATGTCTCTGCTCCTCCCAGCACCTTCTGAAAATCCTCTTCCCAGTCATAAATCTAAATCATCTATACATCTATTCTTCTGTGAATTGGCCCCATACTTGCTAACCTCCTAAGGTTGTTGAATTTAAATGAGATAATGAAAAATAAGCCTGCTTACAATAGGGTCACAAAGTAAACGTAAGTCAGTCAGTTGCTACTGCACCTATCCTTACCTCTAATTATTTTCTTCTAAGGTAAATCCTTACAGCAGGTGTTTCTGATTGCATTCCTTCAAGGAGTCTGACCATGGATCATTTCTATTTCCTTCTAAGCAGCATATAAATATGCTCAATTCCCACCCACCTTAAAGATAACTGCCGTATCTGTCTAGCTTCTGCCTCCTCTCATATCACTTGATTCCTAATCACCCTTCAGAATGAAGATTCCTAAACATTAGCCACAATACCTGTCTTCATTTCTATTATTATTTCACTTTGGTCTGGGTTCAAAATTCAATTCCCCACCAAAATTGCTTTAACTGAAGTGGTGCGCAACAAAAGATGACTTCCCTCTTCCCTTGGGTGACATATGGCAATGTCTGCAGATAGTTTTGGTGGTCACAACTTGGGCATAGAAGGTGCTGCCACCTTATGGATAGATTTCAGATGCTGTTAAAATCTCCTACAATACAGAAGGTGGCCTCCCACAAGTAACCACCATATGTCAGAAGCTATGTCAGATGTGTCAGAAACTTGACTCCTCCTTCTCCAGCATTACTACCATCCAACTAAATTCTGAAAACTTACCTAATTTCTCAAATCTATTAGCTATTTCCTACTAAGTTCAGGCCAATATACTCTCACCTAGCTTAGCATTTTGTCTCCAGTCCAGCCTTACCAAAATAAGGCAACATCATCATCTCAGCTGATAACACTCTTATTTATAATCTTTTAATGACTCTCATTTGGAGGCAGATAAAATGTAATACAAAACTCTTATCACAGAGCTTTTTTACTTCTCTAATCTTTTCCTTAAATTCTTCCCTCTGGTCACCCTCTTCCAAAATGCAAACATAGCCTGTTCCCACCTCCCAATTAACACCTAACTCAAGATACTGTTTTCTACTGGCACCATCTCCTCACTCAGGTCTCTGTATCTGGCCAATTTCTACTCTTCCCTCCACTCAGCAAGCCTTTTCCTGGTCTTACATTACTGCATTAAGTATCTAAATCAACTCTCATACCACCTTGTACTTATTCTTACTGAAGCACTTATGAAACTGCTCTTACTCACTTGAGAATAATCAGTGTCTAATCCAGTGTCTCACCCACAATAAAGGTAAGATAAGTAGCTCTTTAATGAAAGAGGCAAGGTAGAGTATATCTGTAATTCTAGCACTCAGGAGGCAGAGGAAGGACTGTAAGTGCAAAGCCAAACTGGCTTTTCAAAGGCCTTCTCAAAACACAAAAACAAAAACAAAAGTTCCTGAATAAATACCAAATATGTTAAAAACTTAACGTTGGTTTGTTGAAGCCTTCTTATTACCAACCTTCAAAGTGCTTTTAATGTCTCTCAACTATAAACAGGCACTAAACTGACGAATAAACATCTGGTGAGCTTATTCTAAATAAATATTCCCGGGCTGGGGATTTAGCTCAACGGCATTAAGTGCCTGCCTTGCAAGTGTGTGGTTGTGGGTTCAACCCCCGGTACTGATAAAATAAATAAATATTCCCACAACTACCTCTGACTTAGGCTGACGCCCAAGAATTGGTAATTTTTTTTTTTTGTCTTTTTTTTTTTATCGGTACCGGGGATCGAACCCATGACTGCCTGCTTACAAGGCAGGCGCTTATGCCACTGAGCTAAATCCCCAGCCCCCTAGAATTTGTGATTTTTTAATAACGTTTTTTGGTACCAGGGATTGAACTCACAACCTCACACTAGGCACTTACACTGCTGAGCTAAATCCTTGGCCCCCAAAATTTGTAATTTTAACAAACTTCTCATGTAACTCTAACTCAAAATCATCCTTGAGAATTATTACTCTAAGCAAAGTTGAACTCCATAAATAACGTTGAAAGTAGTGTTTTAATTTACTGAAGCAGAATTCACTTCCTAATTCCTTAGGAATAGAGTCTGCTGTAACTGTGCTTGAGTGTGACAGAAAAATGCACTAATGTACACAAATCCACAAAAACAAGCAGCCTTTATTGCAGTATTACAAAACACTTTCCATTTTGGCAATATTTTACAACGCA